ACAATGCTTATAGTTGCGGACAACAACTAAGGTTTGAAGACTAGACAAAATTTAGAACGAAACTGCTCATTTAGGTATTTTAGGAAAGATGAATTTTTTAAGGCCGCCGGGGGCCAGCGCCGCCACCGGCGACAACAAAGACAAAGTAGGAAGAGACTCAGACAACCTGCTTTATACCAACTTGAGATTGAAAGTATAAAATAATTCTTGAGGGCTTGATTGATCCCTCTCATAATCTTCTATTTATAAAAATAAATTGATACAAGAGTACATGATAATTAGGGTAACCTATTAGACACAATATAATCATGATAAATAAGTAACTCTAGACACAATTAATCTTGATAAATAGGGTAACCTTAGACCAATATATCATGGTAAATAAGGTAATCCTAGACACAATATAATCATGATAAATAGGGTAAATATTCTAACAAATTCTATTAACACAAAACATGCTCTTGATCGGGTTGTTTTTATGAAGTTATCATACAAAAATCTATGAACAATTTAGCAATGCTGAATTTTGTTTTGGTAGTAATTTAGAGTCTCGTATGATTTCATTCATTTGAACTTTCTATTATGGTTATTGGTGTTTCTTTTGTTGTCCTTATTCATCAGCCATTTGACATAGTTGGAAGTTTGATAGAGTTTGTTTGGATGATTTCTTTTTTCACAAATACTTATATGAGAAGAAAAAAAGAAATAAATTACGTAAGTTTCTGTAAAAGTTAAAACTAGCTTATGCCAAACTAATTTGTACAAGTTTCCTCATATTAGTTTCTCCAAAACCTAATATTTTAGTTATGTATAAGTTAGTTTTAGCGGTTGAAGATATCAAGTATTTCATTTTCCTTTTTATTTGTGTCTCCTATAAGTGATTGTAAATAAGTTTATCTAAATAGACACTTAGTCTCAATTTCAAGTATCATCTCTCTGGCTGTCTCCTGATGACTAGATTTTGTAAGATGAAGCTGTCCATTTCCTTTGAGACAGTACCCGTGGAGAACTGGAGAGGGAGCATAATGGAAGGGGTTACCGGACAAACAAGAGTTAGTAAGATTAAGCAGCCCATCCAAGGAATAGTGGACATCCTTCCCAGTATCTGAATGTGTAGAAAACTTAGTAAGGACAGTAATTCTAAAGATGTAAACCTGGCTAGGAAAAGAGTTGGTGTCATTATAATTGGATTACATCTTTTAAAAAAAATCAAATACTGGTTTACTAACTAATTACATTCCTCACCATCATCTACACCAGCCTAGGTTATAAAGCCCATTGTACCCCTTACTATCAATCCAATCTTAAATGCAAAATCTGATGAATATTTTGTATTGGAATTCTGGATTAAGCATCAAAAGTTTTATTGAGTTGTTTACCTTTCACTTCATATTTCTTTCCAGGCACAAAAAACAGAAGGAGGAGGATATTGCTATATGTGAATGCAAATATGATGCTGATGACACTGACAGTGCATGCGGGGATAGCTGCTTGAATGTTTTAACCAGCACAGAATGCACCCTTGGTTATTGCCCTTGTGATATCTTGTGCAAAAATCAGGTGAGTTCATGTTTAGCTCTGTATACGGTTATATATATATATATATATATATATATATATATTATGCATCTGTCGGTCACAAAAATTTAAAGATACATTTTTTTTGTTTTACTATAACTACCCTGCTGGTAGCTAGGGTTGATCATGAGAAGTTAATTCCTTTTTATCTCCCAACCTGTGTTTGAGGGAACTTGACCTAATTATTGCTTACTTATATTCTGTTTTTTTTCCCTTTCATTTTATGAACTTCTCAGTGGTGCTCAAGAATACCCTTCTAGAATGTTTTTGAACCTTTGAATTTATTTTGGACGAGGCCAATATCAATTACTATATTCATGCTCCATATGTCTTGGTTACAGAAATTTCAGAAGTGTGAATATGCTAAAACAAAGTTGTTTAAAACTGAAGGCCGTGGATGGGGTCTTTTGGCTGATGAGGATCTTAAGGTAATCATATGATATAATATATTGCAATGAAATTAGCAAAAGGAAAAAGGGAAACTTTCTTGCAAAAACCTGATGAATTTCAATGCATTTTATATTTTATGGGCATGGCTTATCATGTAGTCATTCCTTTAGTTCAGCAGTGCCACACTTCAATTAACATATTTCATATAGGCAGGACAATTTGTCATCGAATACTGTGGAGAAGTTATATCATGGAAGGAAGCCAAACGTAGATCTCAGGCTTATGAAGATCAAGGTAAAATGCCAATAAATTCAATGCTTCTGTTTGTCTGGTATTTGACTGTACGTTTTTTAAAAACTTGTTTGCTTTTTGCAGGCCTTAAAGACGCATTTATCATTTGCCTTAATGCATCTGAATCTATTGATGCAACCAGGAAAGGAAGCCTTGCTAGATTTATAAATCATTCCTGGTAATCACTATATACAAAAATACGAACATTAAGTAAATCGAACCTGCTAGTATGCAAAATATAGTAGGCGCTTTTTCTTGTTCTCCTTTGTTTCCCTTGCCCAAGGTTTGATATCAAATGAATACTTTTAAGTTTGCAGTCAACCGAATTGTGAGACGAGAAAATGGAATGTGTTGGGGGAAATAAGAGTTGGAATATTTGCAAAACATGATATTCCTATTGGAACTGAATTAGCTTATGATTATAATTTTGAATGGTTTGGAGGTGCAAAGGTTCGTTGCCTATGTGGTGCACTCAAATGTTCAGGGTTCCTTGGAGCAAAATCTCGTGGTTTTCAGGTAAGCTTTATATAGGTAGTTTTAACCCTACAAAAATGAAGTGCTTGGATGAATCCTTTTGATACTTTGCAAGGCGTGATTGTTGTAGTCTTGTAGATTATGAGCTTTTAAGTCCCGCTGATAGTTTGAAAGATGATGGTTAGATGTTTTTTTATTGTAGTGTAGACGATTGATTATAAAACCTAAATAATATGGAAAATGTGTTAATGGAGGCTTTATTAAAGAGACGAGCTCTTCTGTTCAATTTGATTATCAGTTTTGATCCACTGCAGAAAACATGGTAGAATCTTGCCATAGGTGGTTTGGGCATGTGTAGTGATGATCACTAAAGGTCTGAATTAGGAGAGTAGACCACATTGAGGGTAGCCTTAGTGTTTGGGGGCAGAGGGAAGCCCAAAAATTATAAGAGATTTTTGGGAGGAATTTAAAGGTCTATAGGTTGCCTATTGAACATAGGAGCAATTGTTTCTAGGTATTATGTTTTATATCCAGGAATCACATTCTCATGAATACTATGTTCAAGAACAAAATTTCCATTAAAATGTTTGGTTGACATTTAGTAATTTTATGGTAAATAAATTTATTCAATAAAAAGTTGAAAAAATGAAAGTGGAAGAAACTTATATAACTTATGTTCCTGTGAGAATATTTTCATCACCAAGGGAAACATGAACATCTCATTACTAAGAATCAATAATTCCTGAGAAAATTTATTATAAACTTGTACCAAACATGGTAATTTGGTATTCAGTAGTTCACTTTCTTAGGAGTCCTTTTTAATACCTTGAAACAAAGGCTTTCTTTGATTGATCCATGTAACCAGCCTGACTTACTGGTAAAGGGTTTGATTGTTGTTGTATCAGTTTTGATCTAGTGGAATGCACGCGCTGAAAATCATTTAATCGGGGGAAGCACTTTTTTTAATAATTTGAAATAGCTAGCTTTATTCCTTTCTTTTTCTTAATTTTCCTTTTTTTTATTATTATTATCATTATTATTATTATTATTCATTTTTAATCACTATTTTTCCTAATGTTGGGAAAACTATGAGCAGGAGGATACTTATCTATGGGAAGATGATGATGATAGGTAATTGTTGATGTGTTCTTTCGTTACGATTCATTCCTCTCTAAATAACAGCTTTCATCTTCTCTTTTAGGAATCTGCTGACCACTGTAATAATCAAACATAAAATGATTTAGTATTGAGTACCTATCCCTGAAACTACTGTCATTGTTTCAAACTTTTGCTTTCTTACTATGGGGAAACAAACTACCATCATCAACCAGGTTACAATAGCACATGGAAATCTTGAAAATCCAGTCATTACATTTTAATTTTGGAACAAAGTTAAAAGTTATGTCATGAAATGTCATTATATATATATATATATATATATATATATATATATATATATATATATATATATATATATATATATATATATATATATATATATATATATATATATATATATATATATATATTATAATTTTAGGGATAAATGTTTTTACTATTTGATAATATTGGTTATTTTGTGATTAGCCCCTCTATAATTTCTGTTGTGATCCCCCCCTCCCCCCTTATATTTAACCTTGAAAATAAAGTACCGTGTTTTATTCTCTCACCGGTGCATCTGTCAGGAGAAAAGGTGAGCGACTTGTATTTCTTTGCAAATACAAATAAAAAAGTCAAATAGATTAATTCCAAAAACATTTTTTTTAGAGATTAAAATATTAAATCATTTCATTTTTAATATACAAAACCGAAGAAAATGACTATTTTTTTTACTTTCACTTATTAACCTAATTTAGAAGATTCTTTTCTTCTCCTTATTGAAATAAACTTTTTCTCCCGATATTTATTTTTAAAGAAAATAGATATACATCGACAATGGAAAAATGGAAAACAGTTTTACACTTTTTCGTTCACAGACCACAGTGTAAAGTAGCCATTGAACTTTTATTTTATTGTATCAGAGCAAGAAATGTGAGCATTATAACTTTTCAATAAACAAAATTTAATTATCTCTAAAATACCTGATTAATAATTCTAAAATGCCTGATTAAGATTAACAACTCTTTTTCCTGATATTTATTGTATTTATGTACAACATATCTACATTGTAAGTTTTAATACACAATTAAAAATAATGCTAAATTTATTTACACCTTTCCTTTCATTCCTTTTTCTCATGGTGATTTGGTGCATGATTTTCTTGTTGATGTTTTTGGTTACAGGTACTCTGTTGAGAAAATTCCTGTATATGATTCTGCAGAGGATGAACCAGTGTCAAATGTTAATGGACGAACTGAATCCTCTTTAGATGTGATGCTTAAAGCTGAGCAACTATCTGAGTCCACTGGTTTCAATGTTCAGTCCCTTGATTCAGTTCAGATGAAAGATTTAGATGTCAAAAAGATTAAGACTGAAGTAGCAGATGAGGATATGCACTTGTACACCCACGATACTGAACAGACGCTTTCACAAAAGAATGCAATGATATCACGAATCCGAGGTAATGCTGCAGGCAGAAACTATCACATTGGACCTAGGTCCATTTCTACCAAAAGATCAAGGGCATATAATGGCGGAAGGTTTAAAAATCTCGTAGAGAAGAGAATTGATGCCAAGTTTGCTGCTGGCCTCCTAGCATCCAAGGAAGCACAAGAGGAGATTTTAAATTCTGAGGTACATTTTCGTTAGATTTTGTTGTTGCTGATTACTGAACATTATAACCTTGGCTCTTAATGTTGTCATTAGCGGGGACTTAATCTCAGGTACGTCCTCTTGCAAAGATAGCTTTAGTAATGTAGTTATCAGATTCGTGATTGGATCTGGAGGATCCTTTGTTTTAAATGACTAGTTCATAATCTAGATTTATCATTTAGAGAAAAGTAAATGTCTTTGAACTTAGCTGGAAGCCTCGAAGAGTTTATCTAGGGGGTGGCTGTGCATGATTTTGTAACTTTGAAATCGTAAAAGTTGTTTAATTTGGTGGCAAACCCCAATCCTATCACTTTATATTGTGTGGTTGCAAATCACCTAAATCGTATTTGTTACTGATTTTAATATAGTTCACACTAATCAAGAATGTCAAGTGAGAAAGTAAAAGTGCATTTGTTTTTCATTCGAAATTAGTAAGTTTATAAGCTCTTCGATTCTACTAAATGGTAAATGAATTCTTCCTTTGAACTCTGCACTCTTGCTTCAAAGAAGTAAAATCCTTTGGTTTCATATTGAGGAATTCCTTTTCCTCTGGTCCCAACCCCCTCCAAATCTCTTCATCCTGCAATTACTGCTTAATGCACATCTCTTCTTACCATCATTGCTTAATGCTAATGTAAGAAATTACAAAAGGATATCAATGTCAACATCGAGACGAAAATAATCAAATTGTTGGGCATAGTTTAGATGTGAATTGGAATAGGGGTTTTGTGCATCATAGTAAATGCTTTATTATCACTCAATCATTCATCTCTTATTTAAAGGTGTCTCCATGCAGAAAAGAAAGGATGATGCTACATCTACTCTTGATTCCTTATACGATGAAATACGGCCTGCTATTGAGGAACACGAGAGGGATAGCCAAGACAGTGTATCCACCACTGTCGCAGAGAAGTGGATACAGGCTTGCTGCCTAAAATTGAAGGCTGAGTTTGATCTCTACTCGTCAATTGTGAAAAATGTTGCTTGCACTGCGCAAAGGGCACCTGGACAAGCAAAACCTACTGAAGTAGATAATGAAAACGAAATTAAGTTCTTGACAGGTTGAAATTCTCATTTCATTTTTTCCCATCTGTAATTTTCAACGTCACTGAATGTGTGGGCAAATTTGGGGGGTACTTCTTTTTAAAATTCGTTAAGTTGAGAATCTAAGACTCGATGAATAGATCTTTTCAATATTTATTTGTTATTTTTGCCTAATTTTCCCATATATTTTTCTTTTTTTGTGGAAATGAAAATACATGGAATAAACTATAGGTTGCATTGGAAAAATGAAATACAAATGGTATGTTCGTTGGTCGCCTGTTAATAAGAAGAATTATTTTAGCATGGATGTAATCTTCTCATAGAGGCCAAATCAATGATAACTTCATTAATTACTTGCCAGACATCCCTGTCTGATTGACTGGTTCAAATAGAGCGAATTGTTAATCCATTGGTATCGCATATTCATCGTGGATATTCCTCCTATTAGCTACAGACACCGAGAGTTGATAAGACTGATAAATTTCTCTAATGTGTTATATATATATATATATATTGACCTTCTCATTATACTAAAATACCTTTCTTTTTATTTCTAAAATACCTTGTCTAGATAGTCTTTGATATAGTGAGGGAAGAAAAATGAAATAATGGTGGTACAAATTGAAATTAACTAAAGCGGAATTATAAATTTTTTGCACTGGAGGAAATAAAAAGCAATCAGAGGTGAAATCAAAGAAATAAAATAAAATAAGAATTATAATTTTAGGGGTATATTCAAAAAAAGTACGATATTTCTTGTGAAGTCTCTGTAACTGGAAAGTAGTCTCAGACATTTTGACCATGTGAAATGAAAGGAGAATGAAGTTATTTCGTCTCCTCATGACTACCCATTGCAACATAAATGTCCTTTTAAGCGGAAGGATGCTATTCTATTTTTTCTCTTTACTGTTGTTTTATGTCACTTGTTTTCAGTATGTGCATGACGAACTTCCATGTTAATAAATGATTGGGACGTTGTATATATTAGTGTATTTAAATTAAATTATAGGACTGAATATATTTTTGTATATGAAAATTTGGTGATAAATTATAATTTGTTATACGTTCGAAATTTTAATATATTTTAACTTTTAACTATAAAATAAATTAATACAATTTTTTTAATCAAATCATAATATTTTTTTAGATGTCAAATGAGTAAAAAAAATTAACGTAACAAAATTAAAAATATTTATTTTCAAAATTTAAAATCCAAAACTTATTAAAGTTTATGTTACAATTAAAACAAAATAACAAATTTTGATTTTGAATCAAAATTAAAAATTAAAAATATATTTAATATTTTTTTCCTACTGACCGCCTTATCTAAAAAATCTTGTTTTTTTGAACATAAGAAATAAAGAAGCCATTGCAATTGACGGAAATACTAGATCCACTAAAGAAACAAAAATGGAAGGAAAGTTTATGGGTACCTCGATTGACTGTTTGTACTATATCTATTTTTATTTTTGTCGATTTTTATTCTTATTTTTATTAAAAAAGACAGTATATAATCACTAGAAATCCTATATCTTTATACTTAGTATATAGGAATTCTAGTGATTATAGCTAAGCCGATATATATCATTATATACCCTTTTCTTATTCTTAGTATTTTTTTATTATTCTTTTATTTTATTATTTTGATCCTGTATGTTTTTATTTTTTATTTCAATTCCATAATTTCTTTCATTTTTAGTCAAAGAAAAGAAATTATGGAATTGAAATAACCCGTGTTCGCTTATATATATGTGGATTTGCAAGGATAGATATGAATGGATTTGTAGGATACCCCTTAATACGGTCACTCGCATATATGCGAAGATTTGCATTGATTCACAATAAAATCTCTATTTTGCCCTTAACAGAGTTATGAAAATACCAGCAGGCATGAACAAGGAAAGGTTGAAGACGATTTAGGGGACTGCATAATCGGTTACAGAAAAATATTTTGGATGGAGTGTAATCGGTTACGGAAACTGCGTAACCGGTTACGCTGGGAAGTTATACGAATTGCCAAAGGTGTAATCGGTTATTCCAGCTTGAGCGTGGTTCAAAGACGGATTGGATGCGTTAATAAATAATATTTTATATTTATTTTATAAAGAGGGGTATTTTGGTAATTTATAATTTTTATCAATTAAATTAATTTTTAAAATCTATCACATCAATCAAATTCTACACTAATTACTTCCAAATTCACTCTCAGCCACCCACAAATCCACTCAAAAAAACAACAAAAAAAAATTACCCTCAAATCCATTCAAATCATCACCTCTAAATATTTCCTAAAGAACAAAACCTTGGAGTTTGAATGGTTCCAATCCCAATGCAACAATCCAACCAACCCCGTTGGAATAAACATGTGAAATCACAATTTAGCATGAATACGAAACCAGATTTTCAATCCTCAAGGAAGTAAGTGCAGATAATGGGTGAAGAAGTTCAGTTGACGATTATAGATGAAGAAACATAATTCAAAACTGTGGCATAATAACAGAGTATAGATATTGAAGCTGAAAAGACAGCCATTTGATGTGAGAAACCCTTCTCCTTCCCTCTCTAAGGTCAACAGAGCCACTAATAATGAACCACTGAAGTCAACAAGAGCCAAAATTCACAGCAGAGGAGGAAAAAGTAAAAGAAAAGTGGGGTTAAAATGGAGTTCATGAGTTAAGCAAATCCGTTGACTGGTCTCCCATCAGCATTTCCACGAAATCACTATCACACTTCCTCTCCATTTTCCATTCCCTCTCCCTTAACCATTCATCTCTATCTCTCTCTCTCAAGATCACTCAGTCAATCAATCATTCCACCCCTCCCATGGACCACGCTTTCCAAGCCATCGTCGCTGCCATAGGTAGCTTCTTCGTCGTCACGCTTCTCCTCGCCGGCGTCATCATCCTCTGCCAGCAGTACCGCAACTCCTCCAAAGCCCGCACCCGCGCCATTCAGAGATCAACTCGACCCGCCCCCGCCCGCGATGCCTCTTTTTCTCTAGCCGTTGTCGACGCCAGCTGGTCCTCCGACCCCAACCTCATCAAGATCACGTGGGAAGAGCTCGCCGTCGCCACCGAAAACTTCTCTCCGCACCTCATCGTCGGCGACGGCAGCTTCGGCCTCGTCTACAAGGCCCGCCTCTCCACCAACGCCCTCGTCGCCGTCAAGAAGCTCTCTCCTGACGCCTTCCAGGGTTTCCGCGAGTTCCGGGCGGAGATGGAAACCCTAAGCAAACTTAACCACCCAAACATCGTCAGAATCCTCGGGTACTGGGCCTCCGGCCCGGAACGCTTACTCGTCTATGAATTCATCGAAAAGGGAAACCTCGATCAGTGGCTCCACGAGCCCGATCTCTCCCGCTCCCCCCTGTCCTGGGAAACTCGAGTCAACATCATACGCGGCGTGGCCCATGGGCTTTCCTACCTCCACGGGCTCGAGAAGCCCGTCATTCATCGCGACATAAAGGCCAGCAACATCTTGCTGGACTTCAAGTTTCAGGCCCACATCGCTGATTTTGGGCTTGCCCGCAGGATGGATAAAACGCACTCCCACGTTTCGACGCAGTTCGCCGGCACTATGGGGTACATGCCGCCCGAGTACATTGAAGGGTCGAATGTGGCGAACCCGAAGGTGGATGTGTATAGTTTTGGGATTTTGATGATCGAGACGATGTCAAGTCACCGGCCCAATTTGCCAATGAAATTGGGCCAGAGTGACATTGGGATGGTCCAGTGGGCGAGGACGATGAAGGAGCAAAATGCGGAGATGGAGATGGTTGATGTGAATATTTCAAGAGAAGGGTTGAGTGAGGAAAGTGTGAGGGAGTATGTGCGCATCGCTTGTGAGTGCACCAGTCAATTGCAGAAGGAAAGACCATCAATGCCAGAAGTTGTAGAATGGTTGGATTCCACGCCTCTCAAACTTTTCATCCCACCATAATCATGTAAATACCTACTACTCCTACTACACTCACCCCCATTAAATCTACCTCCACTTGTTTTACTAAAACATTATTTACCTTATAATCATACATCTTCTGTTCAAGCTTCCAGTGTCTTCTTTTCTTTACCATTTTAGAGATTATCATTCCCTTTTTTTGTGTGATTATTTTATTTATTATATTGATTTCATTGTGTTTGTAGATTTCACCTCAACCAAAATTTGAATAATATTGAAGATTTTCGATTCCTCTCATGCCTGGTTGTATAACTAGTACACCAATATATTAAGTTCAAAACCAGTTCAACGAAAAAGTTCAAATTTATTTCTACCATTCAAAGTTATTACATGATTTTATTTAGCTTAGATTTAGAACATGGTTTCCAACTTGGATCTATACCAAAAATAAAAAAGATGAGTGATCAACTCACCTTAACACTAGGAACAAAGTTAACCCAATAACATTGAATAAATAAGTTCATTACATTTAATCTCAATAAAATAAATAAATAAATAAATAAATTAGTCACGAGTGTCATATAAAGTATAATATGCAAGTGAGGATAAATTGAATTTGAACCCCTCCATTTCTAGTTGATTTATCGCTCCCTTCCCTCTCTTTTTCTCTTCAACTCTTTAAAAGATTTCTAATAAGACACTCTCATTTAAGTGAAAATTTTCAAAAGTGTTGCAGTAAGGTGATTTTCGCTTTAAGAGGCTACATTTTTGTTTGAGCGAAAAGGATGGAGAGTTAGCTAATGTTTTTAATCAAGTGAAACAATGGACTTAACTT